TAACCTTTGCGCACTACCCCCCGGAGAGGCTGCAGGCTTGAGGTATCAATAAAGGTGTATCTCCTCTTTAGGCATCAACATTTGTCAATTCATTAGTTTGGGTTTTGTATAGAAACCATTGAGGTCATTTATTTTAAAAGTGCGTTGGGCTTTGTTACGAAGGGGTTAATTCAAAAGGGGGGGGGGGGAGAGAGAGAAGGGGGGAAAGAAGAGGGCGGGCGCGATGTTCTGAAAAGGTGTCTCACATGAGTCCATAACTTTGAATGTCATGTTCTCCCAAGTAAAGCGTTCGTTTGCTTTCAAGTTCTGTTTTGTTGTTGCCATATTTTCAAAGTTGTTGATCGCATTCACGATACTCTCTGTTATGTGTGGCTTATAATATGAATCTGATACAGAACTATCGAAACAAGACTTGATGTTCATTTATTGACATCGACCAAAATCTTCCACGAAAATTTTCACTTTTCAGCCTTGCAGTCAGCCCCTCCCACTAAAAGAAAAATCTACTCACACACAAAAATAACCAACCAAAAAGAAACCGCTTTTGTTGAACAGTTAAAAACAATAAAGAATAAAAAAAATAATCAAAATTATAAATAGCATTTGTATGGCGTATATCCCCACTCGACAGCAAGCTTTATGCACTTTACATATTATCCCCCCCCCCCCCCCCAGCTTGAGATAGAGCTTGATGAAGCCCACGTGGGCTACTAAAACAAAGCTTCAATAACACATAAAACGCACCATAAGGCGTTAACAATTATTAACCTGTAACTCCCCTTCTATTTCTTCACTGCAGCTTCAATTACTCATAATACATACCATATGGCCACCCTACCACAATATGTCGAAGGCCCAGGAAGTTGTCTCACTAACAAGGCAATCCACAATGTCCGGATCGGATTCGGGAACTACTTTACTTTACATACCATAAAGCTTTAACAATTAACCTGTATATATCCCCTTCTATTTCTTCACTACAGCTTCAATAACACATATCACGCACACCAAGGCTTTAACAATTAATTATTAACCTGTACCCCCCTTCTATTTCTCTACAGCAGCTTAAATAACACATAATATGTACCATAATGCTTTAACAATTATTAACCTGTATCTCCCCTTCTTTTTCTTCACTGCAGCTTCAATAACACATAACACGTACCATACCATAAGGCTTTAACAATTAACCTGTATATGTCCCCTTCTATTTCTCCATTGCAGCTTCAATAACACATAATGCATACCATAAGGCTCTAACAAGTAACCTGTATCTCCCCTTCAGTAACACATAATAATAATAATAATAATAATAATAATAATAATAATAATAATAATAATAATTATAATAATAATAATAATAATAATAATAATAATTGCATTTATATAGCGCACATCCATGCTCAAGAGCATGCTCTATGCGCTTTACAACTATTATTACCCCACCACACTCAGAAACATACTCGGCTTCCGCGGAAGCATACAGTGCCAAGCTGCGGATTTCACGCGCTCAAACACTATCAAACTGACAAGATCGTTCACTGTCTATAGCCGGGTACCCATTTCCACATGGGTGAAGTGAGGAAAATTTGTGCAAAGCGCCTTTCCCAAGGACACAACGTCGGGCCCCTGACGGGATTCGAACCCACGACCTAAAGGTTGCGAGTCCGAGAGCTTAACCACTGAGCCACCGACGTACCATAAAGCTTTAACAATTACCCTGTATCTCCCCTTCTGCAGCTTCAATAACACTAAACACGCACCACAAGGCTTTAACAATTAATTATCAATCTGTATCTCCCCTTCTTTTTCTTCACTGCAGCTTTGAAGGCCGGCAAGCAGCTGGGCGTGGACCCCTTGTTGAACGCTAAGGAGATCACCGAGGAGACCACGGAGCATCTTGGCATGATGGCGTACAGCTCGCAGTACCTGCGCCACCCCAACCTCATCCCCTACAACAGCAACGACCACGGGTACCTGGACGTGAACGGACACCCCCACCACCACCACCTCAGCGTCAGCAACAACCGCATCAATATGCAGCCGGACAATGTTACGTACGTGAAGAACTCGGAGGTGACTTACGTCAAGCAACCGCAGATGACCTACGTCAAAGACCCGGATGTCACTTATGTGAAGCAGTCGCAGATTGCGTACCTCAAGCAGCCTGAAATGACTTACGTCAAACAGCCTGAAATGACTTATGTCAAGGAACCGGAGGTGACCTACGTCAAACAACCGTTGCCAACCAGAGAGAATGTGATTTACGTGAGGCAGCCGATAGGGGTGAGTTCACGACAATAGAATAATGTTCTCTTTTTATCGTTATGTTTTATTATCTATCTATCTATCTATCTATCTATCTATCTATCTAAGACACACAGGAACACACACACACACACATACACACACACACACACACACACACTCACACTCACAGACAGAGAGAGATAAAGAAAGAGAGAGGGAGAGGGAGAGAGAGAGAGAGAGAGAGAGAGAGAGAGA